AGCAGGCCTCAGGGGACTGAATCACTGTGGCAGTTTCCAGACTTCTCAACCCACAAATGCCAAAGACGACTTAGAAGGTCAATAGGAAAGGTCTGTCAGACCGTGGTGAGAGAGGAGCTCAGTCAGGCCCCAGTCCTGGCACAGCCCTGGGGCAGCGGCTGCTACCAGAGCTCTCAGCCCACAGATGGTGGGGAGATCAAGTGGCTGATTAGAAGGGGAATATTGTAGCCAAATTCCAGAGTACCCAGGTCAAGGAGAAAATATTGCAGGCAGCCAGAAAGAAACAATTCAAGTATTGTGGAAACACAACCAGAATAACACAAGATTTAGCAGCTTCAAGAGACCAGAGGGCTCGGAATATAATATTCTGGAGGTCAAAGGAGATAGGATTACAGCCAAGAATCAAAGGAATGAGGATTAGGATCAAGAATCACCTACCCAGCAAGACTGAGTGTAATCAATGAGGGAAAAAAATTGATATTCAATGACTCAAAGGAATTTAAGGCATTCTTGAGAAGCCAGAGCTAAATAGAAAAACTGACTTTCAAATACAAGACTCAAGAAAAGCATGAAAAGGTAAACAGGAAAGAGAAATCATAAGGGACTTATAAAAGTTGAACTGTTTACATTCCTACATGGAAAGATGGTATTTGTAACTCATGAGATCTTTGTCAGTATTAGGGTAGTAGGAGGGGAAAAAAAATTTTATATATATATATATATATACATATATATATATATATATAATATATATATATATATATATATATATATATATATATGTATAGACAGAGGGCACAGGGTGAGTTGAATATGAAGGGATGATAGGATGATATCTAAAAAAGACAAATAAGGGGTAAGAGAGGAATGTACTGTACTGGGAGAAGGAGAAAGGGAGAGGTAGAATGGAATAAATTATCTCACATAAAACAGACAAGAAAAAGCTTTTACAGTTAAGTGGAAGTAGGGGGAGGTGAGAGAGAATGAATGAATCTTACTTTCATTGGATTTGGCTTAAGGAAGGAATAACATATACACTCAATCGGGTATGGAAATCTGTCTTACCCCATGGGAAAATAGGGGGGAAGGGGATAAGAGGAGAGGGATAATAGAAGGGAGGGCAGGTTGGGGGAGGGGTAACCGGAAGCAAACACTTTTGAGGAAGGACAGGGTCAAAGGAGAGAATAGAAAAAATGGGAGGCAGGATAGGATGAAGGGAAATATATTTAGTTTTTCACAACATGACTATTATGGAAGTATTTTGCATGACTACACATGTATAACCTATATTGAGTTGCTTGGCTTCTCAATGAGGGTGGGTGGGGAAGGAGGAAGGGAGAGAATTTGGAACCTAAAGTTTTAAAAACAAATGTTAAAAATTGTTTTCACATGCAGCTGGGAAATAAGATACAGGCAATGGGGTATAGAAATCTATCCTGCCCTGTAGAAAAATAGAAGGGGAAGGGGATAAGGGGGTGATAGAAGGGAGAGCAAATTGGGGGAAGGGGTCTTTAGAATTCACACTGTCTTGGGGTGGGATAAGGGTAGAGAGGGAGAAAATTTGTAACTCAAAATTTTGTGGAAGTGAATATTGAAAACTAAAAATAAATACTTTTCATTCATTGTTTTAGAGATGAACACATTGGGGGTGTCAATAATCCAGTATGGTTCAGTGAAAAGAGTGCAGGGTTAGGTGCCAGATCGTCTGGGTTTGAATCTCAGCTTTCCTCATGACTGCCTGTGTGACCTTGGTCACGCCCTTTCCCCATTCTGGGCCTCAGTCCCCGTCTGTAAAATTAAAAAATTAATCTCTCTCAGCCTTGATTTCCTCATCTGTAAAATAGGAATAATAATAGTATCTGTGTCACAGTGTTAATATACATCAAGCATTTACAAATCCTAAAATAGTATAGAAATACTTTGTTATCATCCTCAATTTGTACATGAGAAAACTGAGGCCCAGGGAAATTAGATGACTTGTCCAAGGTTCCACAGGTGGTAAGTGTCAGAGGGAATATTTGAACCTATACTGTCTGACTCTGGGGCAGCTAGGCAGCACAGTGCTTAGAGTGCCAAGTTTGAAGTCAAAAAGACTCACCTTTCTGAGTTCAAATCCGGCCTCAGACACTTATTAGTATGTGTTACCTTGGTCAGGTCACTTAACCCTGTTTTCCTCAATTTCCTCATCTGTAAAATGAACTGGAGCAGGAAATGGCAAACTACTCCAGTATCTTTGCCAAGAAAACCCCAAATGAGGTCATGAAGAGTGGGACGTGACTGAAATGATTAAACAACAACAACAACGTCTGACTCCAGAGCTTGTGCACACTCAGTCTGGGTTCCACAAATCTTGATTGACAAGTTGTGATGGCCACCTCCCACTCTTTTTTTTGTTTTTGTTTTTTGCTAGGCAATGGGGTTAAGTGACTTGCCCAGGGTCACACAGCTAGTAAGTGTCAAGTGTCTGAGGCTGGATTTGAACTCAGGTCCTCCTGACTCTAGGGCCGGTGCTCTATTATGCCCCCTAGCTGCCCCCTGCCTCCCACTCTTTTACCCAGGGCCCCAGAATTTCCCGTGCATTCTTACCTGAGTCTATAGAGGTGGACTTTGTTCTCCTTGCTGATACACACAATGAGGTGTTATTATTACAGTAGGCTACAAGGCGAATGTTCATAATACCACTTGCTGTGGGCAGCAGGGCAGACCTGCCTGGGCCTTCTCTATCTCACATGCTTTAGCTGGTAGAATTTGACTTGTGTTACAGAGTCCCAGAGGACAATTCAGTTCCAGCTGTGAGTAGGTACTCAGGCTGGTAGGTTTAGGGAGACTGTATAGAGTGCTAGGTTCTTATAGTGACAAGTATACTGGATTAGAGGCCAGAGGACCTGTGTTCAAATCCTAGTACTGCCACTTACTACTTGTGTGACTTGTGTCACTTAACAAATTCCCAAGAACCCTGGAAATAGTGGCTTTAAATAATGAAGTCAAAGATGAAACATTGTCTTGTTTGCCCCTGTACCCTAAGGACCACAGGACTTTCTCATCTGACTTACCGCTGAAACTTTCCATATGGATTGTCTTACTCATTAGAACATGGGCTCCCTGACAGTGGTGTTTTCTGTGTGTATCCCCAGGACATAGCACAGTACTTTGCACATAGTAAGATGCTTTATTCATTCATTGGGCAGCTAGGTGGTACAGTGGATAGAGTTTCTGGACAACTCATCTTTCTGAGTTCAAATCCTGCCTCAGATGTTTACTAGCTGTGTGACCCTGGGTAAGTCACTGAACCTTGTTTCCCTCAGTTTCCAAATCTGTAAAATGAGTTGGAGAAGAAAATGGCATACCACTCCTGTATTTCTGCCGGGAATTTCCCAAATGAGATCACAAAGAGCCAAACATGACTCAAACAATCCAACGATAAAATTCATTCATTCAACTTCTGTGGGCCATAATTTCCTCATCAGTAAAAATGAAAGAGTTGAATTATATTATCTCCATAGTCCCTTCGAATTTTAAATCTTTAGGTCCCTGAATGCCCTTAAGCAAATCCCTATTCAGAGCATGTGGGCTGAAGATAAGTGAACTCACAAACACTGCATTATAAGCTCTATAACCGTTTTTTGCTTACATTTCTTAAACGTATTCCCTAGAGCCAGTTGATAAGGTGGAGGAATATCCCAGAAGCCTTGTCATTGTTGGGAACAAGTTTCATCGATCAAGAGTCTGAAAATCTATTTCCAAGTGCTGACTCTGACACTGACTAACCTTGTATGAAACTGAACATATCACTTTCTCCTTTCTAAGACTCAGTTTCTTCAACTGTCAAATAAAGACAATAATCCCTTGCCTACTTCCTGGGCAGAACTATAAGTAGGGTGGGACAGCGGGACCTTTGCTTGAGGGTGGTAAAATTAAGAGAAGCTGCCACTTCTACTCATTCAGCAGCACAGAAACAGCTAAGCTTAGCTCAGTAATAATTAGTTAAGAGTAGGAGACTCCCAGATGGAATACAAAACATGCCCACCTTCTACCATGCCCCAAGTGAGTTCTCCTCTATAGTGCAGTGGCCCTGCTAGATCTCTGGGTCTGTTTCCCTCACCCCAACTGAATTTTCATAAAAAGTAGATTTAAATATTTATAGCAGCTCTTTTGTGGTGGCTAAGAATTGGAAATTGAGGGGATGCCCATCAATTGGAGAATGGCTGAATAAGTTCTGATGTGTGATTTTGATGAAATTCTGTTGTGCTATAAGAAATGATGAGTAGGGTAGTGTTCGAAAAACCTGGGAAGATTTCTATAAACTGATACAAAGTGAAGTGAGCAGAACCAGAGCATTATACACAGGAACAATATTGTAACAATAATCACTTGTGACTTAGCAACTCTGATCAGTACAGTGATCCATGACGATTCCAAAGGACCCATGATAAAAAATGCTATCTACCTCCAGAGAGAGAGAGAGAGAGAGAGAGAATTAAGTACATATTGAAGCATACTTTTCCCCCTCTTTGTTTATTTTTCTTCTTCCATCTACAACATGGCTTATGTGGAAATATGTTTTGCACAACCATATGTATAACAGGTATCACATTTCTTGTCTTCTCAATAGGTGGGGAAGGGAGAAGGGAAGAGAGAATTTTGAACTAAAAAATTTTAATTTTTTTCTAAAAAGGTAGATTTAAGGGTATTTTTCATGCTGCTTTCAGCCTCTAAAAGGTTTGTAGCAGTTCTGATTCTAAGGTCACTATGAGGAGCTACTGGTGATGGTGAATGGAAGGTGATTTATAAACTCTGAAGGGCTGTACACAAGGCATGATTGTCATTGTTTCAGCATTTGGCTGTAATTTATGAGAGCAAACAAATTTTGACAGCTACTTGTCAAACTTCTGTTGCATGAGGTAGAAAAGTTTTAGTAACTTTTTTTTTCTTTCAGCTGACTCTCTCTTTCTGATGGAAAATCCTCAGTAAAACTGACTCCTCTCTCCTTTCCTTTACAGATAGTCATTCCTTTCTTCAGCCTGCTAATCAAAGACATATACTTTTTGAATGAAGGATGTGCCAACCGCCTTCCAAATGGACACGTCAACTTTGAAGTAAGATTGAAAACCTCTCCTGTACCTCTCTGTCTCTGGCACTCTGCCCAGTATTGAACTCAGCTTCCATCATCCCAACAAAGCAATCAAACCACAAGCATTTGTTAAGTGACTACTGTATACCGGGCACTATGGGCTACAAATAGAAAGAATGAAATGGTCCTGTGTCTTTTATCAAGGGAGACAAGTACCTATAGAGATATATACTTTATAGGGAAGATAATCAATACAAATAAATGCAAGATGGTTCAAATTTTTTATGAGAAAACAGGCTCAGAGAAATGAAATTACTTTTTTTCTGAGATGAATACACAGCTAAGTAAGGGGGAAGCCAGTTTACATTAGAAGATGAACTCCGATGATCACATACAGTCCATCAAGAGTTTGATATTTTTATTTTGAATTTAAATACCCTTCAAAAAAGAGCATTTCTATGAGCACAACAGAACACGAAAAGGGAATTAAATACAAAACCAAAGAATACTTTATATGCTGCTTCATTTTTTTAAACTATGTAAGAAATTCCGCAAAATACTTTCAAAAACCATCTTGTTTGGACTTTCTGTGGCATTCTTTTGTTTTCTTCTATGCACTTAAAAAATGTGTTTGCCATCTTCCTTTTTTTTTTATGTTACTATTACTAACTTATCCTTTCCCAACAAACCTCCCCTCCTCAGTTTAAAAAAAAAGGAAAAGAAAAACCCTTATAACAAATAAACATAGTCGAGCAAAATGATTCCATTTAGTGTCAATGTCTATAAATGTATGTCTGTTCCTGTGCCTTGAGTCTATCACCTCTCTGTTACAAGGTGGATAATATGGTTCATGATAGGTCCATTGGAAACATGCTTAGTCATGGTGTTGATCAGAGTTCTTAAGCTTTTCAGAGTTATTTTTCTTTTCAGTTTAGTTATCCATGTCCAGGGGCAGCCAAGTGGCACAGTGGATAGAGCTTCTGACCTGGTGTCAGGAACATCTGAGTTCAAATTCAGCCATAGACACTTACTAGCTGTGTCACTTCATCTCTTTTGCCTCAGTTTCCCCACCTGTAAAATAAGTACAATAATAATCACCTACCTGACAGTGTTGTTGTGAGGACTGAATGAGAAAATAAGATAATAATTGTAAAGCACTTAGCACAGTGAGTTCTATATAAATATTAGCTATCATGAATTGTTCTCCGAGTTGTATGAACTTCACTCTGCATTAGTTCATACTACCCAGGATTCTCTGGGAAAAAAATGCCTTTTGTTATTTCTTACAGCATAGTATCATTCCATCACATTCATATACAATTTGTTCAGCCATTCCCTAATTGATTGGAAACCCCTTAGATTCCAGGTCTTTGAATTTTTCTCCTTCTTTTGATTCCCCACCCCCCTCCTGCCCCATTTCAGGATCAGAAAAGTGTTTTTGGTGACTGTTTCTTCCCTGGTATTCTATCTTCCCTCTTAACATCATCTACATCCCTCCTTGCTTCCCTATTGAGTTTGGTTTCTACACCAAACTGTGTGTATATGTGTATGTGTATATGTTTGTATGTGTAAATGTATTCAGCCCCTCTTTGTTTAAGACAGAGCGAGGTTGATCTGATGCCCAGTCCCCCATCCCTTTTGTACACTCTTTTCCTTGTACTTCCCATTTATGAGGAATAGCAAGCTCTACCCCGCTTCTTCCTCCTCTCTCTACCGCTATACTCCTTCCTTTGATGTTCTTTTCTCTTTCTCCTCTTCAGGTTCTCAGAACAGAACCAGTCCACCCCAGATCCTCTGTTTTTTTTTTGTTTAATTCCTTCAGTATTCTTTGGCGATATTAAGGATCTGAAAGGATACTTGTTTCTTCTTCCCCATTAGAATGTTAGCACCACAACATCATATAGTCCCTTCCAATTGCTCAAATAAATTTACTTTTCTAGATTTCTCTTGACTCATTTGAATTTCAAAATTCCTGTCTAGCTTTGGTCTTTTTCTCAGAAATGCTTAAAAATACTCTGTTCCATTAAGGATTTTTTTCCCCCTCTGTCGGATTATGCTCACTTTTGCAAGGTAACATTCTTGGTTATAAACTTATTTATTTTGTCTTTTTGGAGTACTAGATTCCAATATCTTTTCTTTTTGTTTTTTTTTAAGACAATTGGTGTTAAGTGACTAGCCCAGGGTCACACAGCTAGTAGGTGTCAAGTGTTTGGTCTGAGGCTGGATTCAAACTCAGGTCCTCCTGACTTCAGGGCCAGTGCTCTATCCATTGTGCCACCTAGCTGCCCCCTTCTTTTTCTTTTTAGAAGCTACCACATCTTATATGATTTTGACTATGGTTCCTTGGTATTTGAACTGCTTTTTTCTGGCTGCCTAATAATATTTTCTTTTATATGAAAGCTCTGGATATGGGCTATGACATTTCTGGAACTTTTCATGTTTTCTTTCAGGTGATCAGTGGTTTCTTTGTATCTTTACTTTGGCTTCAAATCAGATCTGGGCAATTTTTATTTGTGATTTCTTATTCAGGGTTTTTTTTTTAATCGGTTTTTAGGGAATCTGATCATTATTAAATTATCTCTCCTTGACCTGTTTTCTAGATAAGTTATTTTTTATATCAGCTTACATTTTCTTCTTCTCTTTTGTTTCAATCTGTTTATTTTGTTCTAGTGTTTCTTGCTCTCTCATGGAATCATTGATTTGTTTGGTCTATTCTGGTTTTTACAGAGTCCATTACTTTGTTTAGGTTTACCACTTTGTCTTCTAAGTTATTTATTCTCCTCTTCACTTTTTCCTTAAGATCTTTTATTTTATTATCTCTTGGCCTAATTTCTTCTGATTATTCACATAGTCCTTATAGAAATCCATTTTCCCCTCTTTGAGTCACTTCCTACATTGGTACAGAGCTATTCTCTCTTTTTTCGGGCTATCTCTAGAATTACAATTTTTTATATTGATCAATGTCTCCATTAGCTTACCAATTTCTCCATGTTTAGTTCCTGAAGAGGAGCTTTATACCAAACCAAACTCTACACCCCTACCTCGCTATCCTTTTGCAGTGGGTGGGCAGTCCTGCTTGTTCTCCCCTTGGGTCACTTGTAGTTTTGCCCTCACCTCCTTCTACTAGGGTTAGGACACATTGGATCTTTGAGGTTCAGAGCACTGTACCTTCAGAGCCCTTCTGGCATCACAGAACAAAGTTGTAGGGTCCTTAGAGCCCTTGTGTATCCAAGTCTGACCTAAATTCATACTGGTTACTATCTCATCCCCACTAATCCCTTTTGTTCTATGGGTGAAGGGAGGGGAGAACACCTCAGTTGTAATTTTCCAACCACCCTGGAGCTTTCTCAAGGAACCCCTTATATATTACTGCCTCTAGACAAAGAGCCATACAGGTTACATGTGGCTCTCTCTGGTCCTTCTCTGCTCACCTTAGAAGGCGAAGGGATTGTTTGTCTGTGCTGGCACTGGCTTTTTTGACATCCTCTTTTCCTATTGGGCTGCTGACTTTTGTGCATTTCTGGAGTAGAAGTCATTTAATGTAGTTTCTCAATGGATTTCTTGAACATTATTCAATCTGATGTGAATTTTTCAGTTTTTGCTAGACAAGTTATAGAAGATAAAGAGTTTAGATTAATCAATCATCAGGTATTAATTAAGCACCTACTATGTGTCAAGTACTGTGCTAGTCACTAGAGTCACAAATTTAAAAATAAAATAGTCCCTGCCCCTAAGAAACATATATTCTACCAGGGAAAAGAATACATACATTCATACACATTACACACACACACACACACAACAACACACACACACACACATTAATGCATGCACTACCAGATGGGGGCATCAAGAAAGGCTTCATGTAAGAGATAGTTCTTAAGCTAAGCTTTGGAGGAAGCCAGGAATTGTAAGAGACAGAGGCAAGGCAGAAGTGCATGCCAGGCATGGGGAAACGGTCTGTGTGTGCGAAGGCTCAAGATGGGATAAAATGCCAACAAGGAGGCCAGGGTGGCCAGACAATAGAGTCCACAAAGGGGAATAATGCATAGTAAGACTAGAAAGGTAAGCTGGAGCCCAACTGTGAAGGACTTTAAATGCCAAACCAAGAAGTTTATATTTGTGTCCTATCAACTTTTTTTAAAAAATCATTCCTCCTAGAAATTTCTGGAGCTGGCTAAACAAGTTGGGGAATTTATAACATGGAAACAAGTGGAATGCCCATTTGAACAAGATCCCAACATCACCCACTACTTACACACAGCTCCCATCTTCACGGAGGATGGTAAGTAGTCCCTTTTCTCCCCTTATACATGGCATATGACTCTGTCTTTGTCTCTATTTTCATCTTCTTCTTCCTCTTCTTCTTTTTCTTCTTTTTCTTCCTCCTCCTCCTCCTCCTTTTTCCTTCTTCTATTATTATTATGATTATACCACTATCCTTACCCCCTTTATCTCAACAATTACATAAGCTACATAGCCTTGTCCTAGACAGGGCAGGAAATATTCCTTCTCTAGTCACAGCCCTGACCTCTCTTGTCCCAGAAATTGCTCTCATAAGTCATGCCTCATAGACTCAGCTGTTCTATGGGATAAGAATCCTACTTGATGCTGTCACCTCTAACCCCCTTGAGATAAGTTTTCCCCTTTTGAGATGAGTTTTAAAAGACGTGCTTTTGGACCCTCAGTTCAGAATAATATTATGAACCAAATTCTAGCCTTTTCCCACATCTAGGACCTAGATTGGCAGAGCTAAAAGAGGTCTTAGAACACAGAGTATGAGAACTAGAAGGGACTGTAAAGTAGAATGTAGCAAGTCATAACTACAAGACCTCTTGGCACTATCCCCTTATTTTATTGATGAGGAAGAAATTGAAGGCTAGTAAGTTGAAGTGACTTCTTCCGGGTCACACAGATGGTTGGAGTGTGGCCAAGTTTCCTGACTCCAGCTGTCAAAATCCTGATGGTTTCACTTTAGTATAGTTTCTCTCATCAGAGCAACATTGATGATTCTCTTTCCTTTTGAAGTTTTTTTGGGCCCATCCAAGTTAATCAGGGTAGGCATCTGTGCCTCCCCAGAATTCATGAAAGTCACAACATAGCAAGGAAAATTAGGCTTAGCAGATTGCCTAAAAGCAGTCATTAACATGATTAAAGGGAGAGGGAGAAGCCAGGCTAACCGTAGCCAGGCTTAGTGTCCTGAGGGGAGGTAGGTGGAAGATGTGGCTAACTCCTGCTAGCCTTCAAAGGTTACCAGGCAGGAATAGGAACTAACCTCTTTGCCCTTCATTACTTCCACTCTCTTTTCTCCCATTACGAGGCCAGTTCAAATTAGCTTCAAGAAGAGGACCACATTTTAAGTCAATAGGACACCCACTAAAGCAGAAATGCAGGGAGAAGATGAAGGAGAGGGAAAGTCAGAGCTGATCCGATTATAAGCCCACAGAGAAAAAAAAATGCCCCAGTTTAGATTAATCAATCATCAGGTATTAATTAAGCACCTACTATGTGTCAAGTACTGTGCTAGTCACTAGAGTCACAAATTTAAAAATAAAATAGTCCCTGCCCCTAAGAAACATATATTCTACCAGGGAAAAGAATACATACATACATACACATTACACACACACACACACACACACACACACACACATATTAATGCATGCACTACCAGATGGGGGCATCAAGAAAGGCTTCATGTAAGAGATAGTTTCATTATGTATTCCATAATGAAAAGGAAGGAATAGTAAGGGATGTGGGAGGAAGTATGTGTCTATAGACCAGAAGGAACCACAGAGTGCACAGCTGTTCCACAGCTCACCAGAATGAGAAATGTACAGGTGCACTTTGGGTTTAGGCAAGTTAAGGATAGTTCTAATGTTTGTTAAAAAAATGTTTTTTAAAATTAAAAAAAAATATAAGATCCATTTAAATTCAGTAGGGGAGCCTGTTGACTTTTTTTAAACAAATTTTTATTATTTTTCTTTATTAAGCAAATATGTTGGATTTGGAGTCAGAAGACCTGGGTTCAAATTGCATATCTGTGTGAGGTCCGAGTGACCTCACACGGGTCAATTAAGCTCTCTGAGCCTGTTTCCTTTTCTGTAAAATGGGGGGGGGGTGGATTAAATGACCTCTGAGTTCCCTTCTAGCTCAGAATCTCTGATCTTATGGATTTAATTTTTGCCCTACAAAGGGATTCAAAATATTTATAATTTTAGAATACTGTAACATGCAAATAGTAACAACTAATTGTGGTTTCTTCATTTATCCCCTTTCAATCTTCTAGATTACTCATTCCTATGTATGTAATTACCTAGCTATGACCAATATATATATATATATATATATATGTTGTTCTTTTCATACTTTTCTTCATCATTGTATAATGGAAATCATCACCCTTAAGTATGTCTGTTTCATAAACTCAAATTTTTACATAGCAGGTTTTCTTAAATTGGGACACACCTATGCAGAAAGAATCTAATTTACAATTAAGTTGTATTACAAAAGTTCACTTGTAAATTGGTTGGCAGATTGGCAGATTTAACAATAAAATTAATGCTTCATATAGTGGTTTAGTTCCTAGACTCTTTAAACTAAAATAAAACCCTCTTCCACTATAACTGAAAAAAAAACCTATTCATTTGCAGCGAAAAATAATAGAAAACAATACAGTTGTACATGATCAGCATGTCTACTACACACCAATAATCATTTGAATAGCTTACATTTGTATAGTGCTTTAACATTTGCAAAATACTTTAGAAATTTTATCTCATTTTATCCTTATAACAACTGTGGGAGGTGTTTTTGTTCAGTCATTTCAGTCATGTGCTACTCTTCGTGACACCGTTTGAGGTTTTCTTGGCAAAGATACTGGAGTGGTTTGCCATTTTCTTTTCCGGGGCAAACTGGGGCAAACCCTGAGAGGTAGGTACTATTGTTATCTCATTTCCAGATAAGGAAACTGAGGCAGACAGGTTAAGTGACTTGCCCAGGGTCACAGGCCAAATTTGAACGCAGGTCTTCCTAATGCCATGTAAGGTGCTCTATCCACTATGATTTTTCAGGATTTGAACTGAAGTTCAACTGTAGGTCCAGTGTTCTATCCATTAAACCACCTAGCTGCTACAGGGGTTAAATAGGCTAATGGGAGCTAGCCTAGGAATGTAATGTCACGTCTGTGAAGGGAAGCATGATGTTGTAAGTGGCAAGAAAGGAACATGAAAATGAATGGTAGGGAGAGAGATGAAGAGACCTAAAAGAACTCAGTAATAGAAAAGGTATGCGGAAGCTTGCCATTAAGGGGGAGGAGTCAGCACATGCACAGAGACTGAAGGTGGGGCTGGGTTTCCATTTGCCACCTTCTCTGAATCCCTACCATCTGGCATCTCTGGACCCCCACCACCAGACCTATCCTAGATCAAACCCTTGGGACTCATATTCCAACATCCATCCTGCCCCCAAAAGGGAATAAGTCAATGACCGCAGCAAAGGAAAACAACGTTAAAATCTTTCAAAACAATGACTAATCATGAGTTAAGAGGAGTGATGGGGAAACACACAAACTCCCTTTCCTCAGCAGAAGGGTGGAGGACAACAGGTGTGGAATGAGGCCTACATTGTCAGATGTGGCTAATAAAACACTGATTTATTTTCATTAGTTATACTTCATTATGTTCTATTGTGGGACTAGGGAGCGGGATGGTTGCTAGAAAATAATACTAATGGGAAAAAAGAGCATCAATAAAATACTCATTAAATCTTAAAATAGTGTCTTCCCGTAAGAAAATTACTACACTCGAGTCTTTTTTGGTCATGCCATTTAACATTGTTTTCAGCCTTTAATGCAGTGGCTTTTGTGGAGCCCAAAATAAGGAGAACCAGCTTGCCACAGAAAGCCATGTGTGTATGGGAATGGCTCATTACTGTGTCTGGAAAAAAAAAGGCAATATCTGTTCCCAGTACATTATGGACCATTTGAGAATGTATCACTTTGGCAGCAATAAACCAAATATCAGCAATTGAAAAAAGGGGGTGAGGGGTGAGGTGGAGAGTGTACAAAGCAGTACAAAGAACAGGTCTCATGCTTTCCTTGTCTTTCCCTCCCAACCCCAGGATGCAGCCACAGCAGCTATTTGTGGTCCTAATGACACTGTATGCCCCTGGACAAAGACCTGGGCATATGTTCAGAGTGGGAAATACTTTTTATAGGTCACCTAATCCAATCCCCTTGTTCTCCATACCAGGAATCTGAAGCCCAGTGGGGGAAAAGGGACTTGGTGGTGGTGGTGGTTTTTGAATATATTTTTCTAATTACATGTTAAAACAATGTTTTGATTCATTTTCTTAAATTTTGAGTTTCAAATTCTGTCCCTCCACTCCCCTGTCCCTGAGACAGCAAGAAGTTTGAGAGAGGTTATATATGTGCAATCATGCAAAGCCTAGGAAAGGGACTTGTGAAAGACCACAGAGCTAGGTAGTGTCAGAAATAGGATGTGACCCCAATTCTCCCAAATCTCCAGACTAGTTCTCTTTTCAGAGCCCCATGCCCTTGAATTTAATTGAATTTAATTTAAGGTTAAGTCCCACCTTCACACCCACTTCCCTGCATAGTGTGTGCATGCACACACACACACACACACACACACACACACACACACACACACACAGAGTGTAGCCATACACTGCTGGGCACATGGAAAGAAGGAAACACCTGCCAAAAACACACATGTTTCACTTTGCAGAGAGCTCTCCCCTACAGCATTAGGGATTGGCTGTTGGTATATACTTTGTGTACATCACTCAAGTATCATTAAATTTGGGGAGGTGCTGCTATTTGGCAAGGATACCTAATCACGCTCCTAAACCAAGCACATGGAGGAGGAAAGCTATATTTAATTTTGGTATTTAGGATGGTTAAAGGCTATGTCACTTACTCATATAATTGAAGAAGCCAGCTGTATGCAGATGTGGGTGGTGAGATGCAGCTAGCTTTCATGATTGTCCTGAGTCAGATGCTTCACTGTCAAGTTCATAAAAAAAGTAACAGGAATTAGGCTCTACCTGCAAAGGAGATCCCCTTCTGGGCACCATTTGCTACAATCCTCCAACTTTCATGGGTCTTTACGGAGGATAGACGGAAGGATAAGTGAAGAATCTCAGGGTACTTGATGACTCTTTGGGAACTCAGCAGAGACGGATGGATCTGAGCTCTTGCCACTACTGTTACTTTCACTGCTATGGATTTATTTATACCTTAGATGGTTAACATGTATTGCCCAAAACAAAAACAAAGGAAGTCACCAAAAGTAACACATATCTTTTGCATTTGTTCCTTTTAGCCCCAGTTTCAGAAGGATTTAAGAAAGGGGCATTGGGTAGCAGCCAATAGATAGGGCCAGGAATAGGAAGGAGGTAACAGAGGTGGCTGGGAATCTCAGCTGAGTGGTTTCCATTGCACAGGAACTTAGTGTAACAGTCAGGTGGCAAAGCCAAAAAATTCACAGGCAGGAATGGGGCTCAACACGGACACAAGCAGGGTCACAGGCAGGGAGAGAACAGAGGCCCTGGGGTGAATAGGACAGGCAGGAGTGATCAACAAGATAATTATCAGAGCCAGGAGAAGGAACCTGAGGTAGCACTGGGGATGATTCCCCAGCAGGGGATAGATGAATGCCTTTGTCTGGGATAGATTTCAGCTTCCTTAAGCATCTTCTCTATGTGCTGGTCCTTACATGCCTTAAGGGGCCCTCTGCTCAAATCCAATGGAATGGCTTCTGTCCTTTGGGCTGGAGGAGGTCCAGCTGGGCCCAGAAGGGAGCTGAAGCTTCTTCCTTATCCCAACATCTTATCTGCCCTATTCTTTCCTAATAGCCAAAAGCCCCTGAATACTAGAGCCCTGATAGTGTTGATGATGATAAACATAGAAACCGTTTCTTTTAATTCCATCCATATAGGGAGGGACATCATCATTCTATATGCTTTCCTGCTTCATTTGACAGGAGCCTCATAGTATCTCTGCCCACAGATACTTCTCCTTACATGGTGAATCCTTATTTGTGGGACTGTAAGCAAGACATTCAATCCTGCTCAGCCTAAGCTTCCTCATCTGTAAAATGGGGGGGAGGGGTTGAGAGGAGAAGGGAGGTATGCTGACACTTCCTTCTGTGCAGGGTATGTAGAACAAAGAACCTTTGTAAACTGCAAATCGCTGTTTAAATTTTAGTTGTTGTTCAGTTATTTTCAGTCCTGTCTGACTCTCTGTGATCCCATTTGGAGTTTTCTTGGCAAAGATACTGGAGTAGTTTTCCATTTCCTTCTCCAGCTCAGTTTACAGATGAGGAAATGGAGGCAAACAAAGTTACATGACTTGCCCAGGGTCACACAGCTAGTGTCTGAGGCCAGATTTGAACTCAGGAAGATAAGTAGTCCTAACTTCAAGCACGGTACTCTATCTATCCACTGCACCACCTAGCAGCCCTGCTGTTTAAATACCAACTACTTAATAAACTGGTTTCCTATAGGCTGATCTACTTGTGTGGGAAAAATGAAATTCTTTCTTAAATGCATTCTGGAAGCTGTGCAGTAGACTGAACTGAACTGGGATGTCAAGAGACTTGGTTTCTAGTACTGACTCTGCCCCCTTGGTCAAGTCCCTGGGCCTCATGAGGGTCCCTCCTTTGTGAATTGAGGGGATTGGATTAGACAACCTCTATGCATCCTTCCAGCTCTAAAACTCAGTGACCTCTAATTAAACAGATAAATCTATTACTGGTCTCCCTTTGATGTTTCTTCCTTTATAATTAGCATTTTGAAGTCGTGAACACTTCTTTTTTTTAGTATATAACCAAATGAGGCACTGTTTACCAAATAACTGATAACAAATCATATAAACATAGAAATGTAATACAACAGAGTGGAGTCCTACATGAAACAAAAAAGCAAGAAAATTTCAGGGATCTAATTATAAATCCCTTTCTGTCTAGGTCTTTATCTGGCTTCTTATGAAAGCGAAAGCCCAGAGAACCAAGTAGAAAAAGAGAGGTGGAAGTCTTTAAGGTAATCATTCCTTTTCTAACCCCTTTCACTAATGCTCATGTCTACAAAAATCTAATACTCAAATTATTTTAACTTATCTTCAGTACTCTGACTCTAGAGGATATGTGTCAGAAATGTTTCACAATGGGTAATGAGAATTATTCGAAAGACTTCTCGACAGCGTTTCTTCTGTGGCTGGACAGATAATAGCATTGTTTTAATCACTATATACAAAGTAGAATCAATATAATAAAAAACTAAATGCCAAAGAAATTTTTTAATTTTTAAAAATTTTTAATTCATTTTAAGCTTAAATGCAAAATGAGAAAAAAAAGAGCATTTCCATGTGCACAGCAAAATAAAGGATTCAATATAAAACCATAAATTCAAAGAAATTTTTTAAAAATCCGAAAGAGTAACCATAAAGGTTTTGTTTCATCTTTGTCTATAAATGTTTCAAATTGCAGATCTACTATTTTAGGAAAGACTTGAAGAACAAAGAACTGACAAAGTAGGAAAAGAAAAAAAAACAGCAAAAATACTTTGCACTACTGATTCCAAAGATGCCTATTGGGGATTTAGGTGTCAATTTCTTTCTCTTTTTTTGATGAACCGCAAAACATGATGAACTGCATTCTCTGCTGAAATTGACAGCATTCTGCACAATTCTCCTTTTCTAAACTCTTATATCCTGGAAACAACAGTGGCTTTCTGCCACTCCTACCCAGGGGCACCAAGACTGCCTGGGTTGATGGTTCCCTTGTCTCTGAAGACAAGAGAGTCATGTCACGGTGCTACGCCGAAGCTTTGCGAAGCTACATGATCAAATGGAAACAAAAAAGCCTTCAGTAGGTGCTTCAAGAAGCAGCCTGTAAGTGTGTTCCCAGGACCATGAAATGTCACTAATGTGTCTAATTCTATTCAGTCTTGAATGAAAACTTTGTCCTCCAACTGGGATAACCAGCCTAGTTGGGTAATGAGTGCATTGCAGTCAAACAACACCAACCAAGACAAAGGACCTGGGGAGCCTTGATATCACAAACACAACGCCATGGGAACTGTCTATTCATGGCTTTCTTCCTTAATCGTTGCTTCTCTTTCTGGAACTCAAAGCAGAAGATTGGTTGAGCATGAAATAATACTGGCTGCATCAATTGTACCTTCAGCTTCTGCTGATGAAGCACATTGCTCTGAGAGATGGGTTTACCTCTAATTAAGGCATGTGGGTCATTCCCTGGTTCTGCTGATGCTAAGAAATCTCTTCCATGACATATGATGAAATATAACTGTGTGAAACAGGTCAGTGGACCAAAACTGATTTCACTTAGTAGATAACTCATAGGTTAAAATTAGTGGAGTTTAGTTCTGATGTGATATCTGTTGTTTAAAAAAATATATATTTATCCCTTGGATCTGAGAGAACATGGTATAAATACCCATAACATCAAGTTAGAAGGAAGAATCTAGTATCTCAGGGCTCCTAAATAGTCACTGTTATTGGAGATGGAGATAGAATGTGCTTACCATTTCCTCTCCATAAGGATTCATGTTGTATAGACTATAACATGCGCAAAACAATCATGCACTTACAAGAAATAAATGGAATACCATCCTGTGATGTAATTAACATATCTGCCGCATTCACTCACACGCTACACTAATAACCCATATTCGTATTATTTTTGTTCCATGGATTATAGAGCATAGTTCTGTACCTGGGGAAATGAACAGTCCACGGAACAATTGAACCAATCGCTTTGACCATTTTAATGATCAATAAAGATTGCCTCATTGAGCAGAATTGGCCATGATGATGTCCAGTCAATTAGGAACAGCCATGTTCAGAGGCTGCATTTGGACCCAGACAAACACAAAGCCCATATTTCTTGGAAAATTTGGCCAAAATGTCCAGTGAAATGGGATCATTTTGCTGCTGCTGCTGTAATGAACTGGTTGAAAGTCTAGATATGTCCGGGGGCTACGTATTAGCCCATGCCTTTGGTGAGTAGTTGTCCAGGGCAGGAATCCTGTGTTTTCATGGATGTTCTAGTAGCATATCCAAATATTGTTTGCCTCCCCACGCATCTGGCTGTTTTTGTTGCCCCATTAATGAAAAGCACAGGATGCACAAAGCCCTACTGTCGCCTGGTGCAGCTGCTAGTCATTGGCAGTTTGGGGGAATCGATTTCCTGTAGTATCCTGGCAAATCTGATCTGGAATAAACCCCTGTTTGAAGAATCCCTAGGCAGTCAGCAGTGCTAAGCCTCCAGCCTTGGGGTTCGCTGTCCGTGTACACCTGCAACAAAAGCCAATGTTCAATCTTGTAATCTTTAGATTTCTGCCATGTAAAGCTGAGGTGTCAGAGGCTCTAGAAGTAACTTATCTGTCGTTCTTCGGGAGCTGACCTGGGCCTGTGACCAACTCCTGGCATCTCCCCAAAAGGCTCAGCCCTAGGAATACCTGCCAGCCCAAGCCTTTGGGAATAGCAGGATCTCCGTTGGGACAATTCCAGTTAACACTGCTACTTAGTTGCCACCTGATCCTGGGCCTGTAGTTTTTCTAGCATGGATCCCATTGCCTGTCTATGAGATTGTCACCCTACCATGTGCTTCCATTCGTTTGGAGAGTTTAGCTTAAGCTCACCATGGGAATGGCCTCCTTTAGCTAGACGAAGATTCATCACAGTTCCTAAAGGGGAATACGTTCCAAGATAATGAATGAGTATTCCATCTATGACAGTCTGTTCATTATAGAGTCCCTTAACCAGGTGTACATGGTATTACTAGGTCAACCTGCCCCACCAGTAGGGCTAGGCTCCCCAGAGATTCTCTGTGGGGGCCTAGATAAGATAGGCAAAACCATCAAAAGGTCTCATAGCTGGAAGACCTTTTTGGAATCCTGACTCGTGCAGAATGATAAACATACCTCCTCTCCCCTCCTGGCAACATGGGAAATGACATATCACAATATATTACATCGGCTGTGTAAACAAGAAACTGTAGTCACTGAGAATGGTGAACTTTCTGCATTTGCACCAAAATCCTCAAGTATACCCCATGCAGATCTATGCAGAAACAGCTTTGGACACTAAGCAAAGTCATTAATTTCCCTGCTTTATTAACAATTTTTCTTGTATTGTACCAAAGTTTGGTAAAGAACACATTAATTTTGCCATTCGATATGCAGTTTTAGAAGACTAGTGCACAGTCTTTTAGCTCCTTATTCTGGTATGGATGCAGTATCAAACTGTAGCTGTCAAAAGCTAAATACCATTCATGTGCAAGTTTAAATAGCTAGCTATTCATATTTTCCATCCTGCTATGGTAAAACACATCCACACTCAATCACAGGTCACCAGAACCAGTGGATGCTTATCTGACTGCATTAGTGAGGAATTTTGTTTGTGAAAAACACTTAACACTGAACCTATCTTCCAGAACAAAGAGAATGTAGGCATGTGCAGCTCTGTGGTGTGCATCCTGGAGCTCCAGGGAAAGCAAGAGCTTTCCTGAAACCATAGCATGAATTATTCACATGTTCTTCGCAGCCCAGGCTGCAGAGTGAATATGATAGAATGAACCTTCGAGGCTTCTCTCTGGGAAGAATGCCAGGAGCCCTGCCATCTCCAGGGGCCACACCAGGCAGTTCTGTGGCTCCTTAGTGCCCATACTTTGCCTTCCAGCAAAAGCAAGGAGCTTTCCGCAAAGAACACAGATTCCGCAGGTGGCTGCTAAGCACTGAATAAACAGTTCCAGGTGGTCAGTGGCTTAGGTCCAAGCACAGAGAGAAAGTTCTGCACCCATTCTGCCTGTATGTACACTGAATATGAGGATGAGATAACAGGGTTTCTTCTCTCCCTTTCTGTGAGATGTCAGAGGAAGGGAGTTAATAATGAGCTCATTTCACTTTAGAAAAGGATTCAGGTCTTTATTAACACTCACCTTTAACAGGATTTTGTTGCAAATATGTTGTTTTAATATATTTTTTAAAAACACAGATGCTAGTTTATTCATGATTATCAAGCCAGCTGAGGGTATGTCTCAGATTTCTGAATGTCTAATGGGTCAGCACCAAGGCGCTGGTGGGAATTTTTCTCTCTCTCTTAAAAGGAAAACAGTTCATGTTAGACAATTTAAAAAACAAAACCTCATACTCATTAGCACCACTGAGTAGGATAGGGATAGGGACTAGACCTGTGATTTCATCAGTCTAGGGAACCCCCAGGTGAGGAAATTCTCTCTACCAATGTAGGTTGGCACTTTCTCCGCAACAAATCATCTTAGAGAATTTGCAGGAGCACCGAGAGCTTGTGACTTGCCAAGGTTAACATGTCCAGTCTTCATCAGGGGCAAGATAGAAACCCAGGTATCCTTGGCTCTCAGGCTATTTCTCTTTCCAATACTCCAGGTTGCCTCTCACCATTAAGTAACAAAAAGAAAATGGCAGGATGAGTCATAGACATTACTTGAGGTACACAAACATTTACCTTGTTACTTACCTCTGTAAAAGCAGACCAAATGGTAGGTTGGGTCCATTTGAGTCACAATCAATTTGTTAGCCCAAATACTTTTGGGAGGAAAGAGATTTCTACTTTGAGTTTCTCTAGGTTTCAAGTGTAGAGTGAAAATCATTTTTGAATTTAAAAAATCCTTTTTCAGCTTTTGTTTAACCCTACTTGTCTTCTGCAGTGATAGGTAGCATTACAGAATTTTAGAGCTGGAAAGGATCTTAGAATTCATCTAGGTAAATCCTTTTATTTGACTAAAGAGAAAATTAAGGTGCTGCAAAGTAACTTGATTGGCCCTAGATCAATGACAGCTTGTTAGTGGAAAGGAGTCAGGACTACAGGCCAGGTGCCGTATTCCTAATCCACAATTGTTTCCATCATATTTTACTGTATCCCAGACAAAAGTCTTTCCACTGGCATTCTCCTTTCAGACATTCACCCTTCACTATCAGAAATGAAGAAAACAACCTGTGTACATGTTCAGTGAAATTCTGCATTCAGATTCCAGAATTCACCAGCTTCTAGGTGCAGATAATTTAGATGGTTAAATGAAATTCTAAGAATCAGTCTCCTATTAGACATCATCCTATGATAAGAGGTCACCTAGATTCACTGTCCAGAGGCAAGCTGGTGCCTTTATTAAGCATGTTGAACTAGATGACCCTTAAGGTACTTTCCAGCTGGACAATTACAATCCTGTGATCTCCTTCCCGAGTCCTTTGGCCTCTGAGCTGTAAAACTAGAGCAAAACACGAAGACATTGAAGGTTGCTTAGACATAGGTAAAGCCAACATTCTTCACCGTCAAGAGCAAATCAAGGAAGATCTTAGCCAAAAGCCTGATGGGAGCTTTCTGCCTGTCCTGCTGCTAGCTGGAAGTCAGGGAATACAGAGTGTTTCTGTGTGTTATTATTGTTCAGTAGTTTCAGTTGTGTCTGGCTCTTTGTGACCCCATTTGAGATTTTCTTGGCAAAGATACTTGAATGGTTTGCCACTTCCATCTCCAGTTCATTTTATAGATGAGGAAACTAAGGGAAACAGGGTTAAGTGACTTGCCTAGGGTCACACAGCTAAATAAGTGTCTGAGGTCAAGTCTGAACTCAGGTCTCCCTGACTCCAGGCCTAGCGCTCTACCCACCGAGCCACCTAGCTGCTTCTGTGCTTAGGCTCCAGAAAGCAGTCTCTGAGAGGTAGTATGGCATAGAGGACAGACGGCCAGCCTTGGAATCTGGAAAGTTTGAGTTCAAGTCTTACCTCTGATACATGCTGGTTATGGGACCCCCAAGCAAGTCACTTTTTTCTTAGTGTTCCAGGTAACCAACCATCTAAGACTAAGTTGCAGAGTTGACCATTTGTAAGGGTAGAAGACATTTCTAAACTGAAGGTTTCCTCCTTAGATAAAACCACAGGTCTAGACTAAAAATATCAACATTAAGAAAATAATTTTTGAAGCTTACTATTTGTGCCCTTCAGATTTTCTTCTTACTGCTAAGTATTTTTGTTTGTTTGTTTTGGTTATTCATTCCTTTTTTTGGTGCCTTGCACATGGTTGGCATTCAGTAACGTTTGTTGAATTGAACTGAATTCCCACACAGATGCTTTACAGCTGTACCTTGGCAGACAGGCTCCTACACGTCCTAAGACATGTAGCGGTTACTAAATCCAATCGTCTCTTCCATGCTGACTATACAATCTTTATCTGGACTGCAGTATTTTGAGTGACTGTATTTCTAAAGCAGCAAGCGTACCCCTCTTAAACCCTGCTGGCAACAGACAGTACGTTGTGTTGCAAAGAGGGCAAAATCTGAAATCAGAAGACCTAAGTTTGAGTCCTAGCGCTGCCACTTCCTAGCCTGGTGACCATAGGGTCTGAGCCTCAGTTTCCTCATCTGTAAAATGGACATAATAATATTTTCACTACCTACCTCACAGGGTTGTTGTGGGGATCAAATGAGATAATGAATGTGAAAGTGCTCTGTAATTGTAATGTACTATAAAAATGTCAACGGGTATTCTTTCTATAAGGTTGCTTTGTTCCTACAACATTCAACATGGAACAGGCCCCAGGTACGTAGATGAAGCAAGTCATCCCCTTTGAGTTCTAGTCTTTCTCAAAGAGACTAAATGGTACTTTGTTGATGGTGTTTTGTCAACATAATAAAAGGTTTGGGGAAGGAATATATTCCTTGATAATTAGTTCCCTGGGCCTCAGTTTCCTCTCCTGTAAAACGAGGGAGTTGGATTGTCTTGACCTCTGAGGTCCCTTCCAGCTCTAGAATAACCATACTAGAATCATAAGCTTTGTTCTTAATTGACAGGGCCCACCATTGCTCTCCTGAGTACTCATGTAAACAGCCATTACTATAAAGACAATCAAGGTTAAATGCAGTGTAAAAGCCTGGCTTTTTGTATTTGAAAATGTATATTCAATCCGTAACATGATAGGGACTTCTTCAAGGCCTTCTTATTCCCTTAGACATGCTAGATTCTCAGAGCTTCCATTGATGTCAAGTAGGATAAATGAGAAGCCAAAGAGAGAATTTGAACAAGATTTCAAAGCCGTTCCTAGGTGTCCTAAAGGGTTGGTCCTATTTTCATTTAGAGAAATTCTTACAGATTTTCCATTACTGTATATTCATAACCCCAAGATTCAGTCAAGGCACAGACCAAAAGCAGTCATCTGATATCTGCCCCTACTATTTCTCGATTTCAGCCTACTCAGCTGTGAAGTGTTATCCGAAAGTATGCTGCCATCTTTTAAAGTTGGGAGGGAAAAAAAACCAAACTGGTTTTTCTTTTGCAGAATTCTGAGGATTAGGCCTTGATTCTTACCAAGTCACACACATTAGAGGATTCCAGTGAAATAATGATTCAACTGAAGAGAGAACTCCATTCACCCAGTAAAGAAACCTGTTTTAAGCAATATTTGATCAACTCATAACAGCTTGATGGCATAACATCTAATCCTATGTTTCATATGAGAACTTAACGTAACATTCTGGAAGACTATATTTATATTTGCCATGTCTGTAAATGTTCATTTTAGCACCTTTCCTATAGTTTGTCTACAGCTGCATTAGCAAAATAAATGTTGCGGTCAGTGTTTTTAAAACAAACAGATGTTGAATATGGGGAGACACACTATGTCCATCATTTGGGGACCAGGATAGCTAAATGTTTAAAAAAAAAAACTCATCACCAAGTGGATGACTACCAGGTAATGATGTTTGTTTCTGGTTTTGGCCACAGTAACTTATTGGACTGATTACTTGCTGAAGAAGGATAGTGATCTGCATTTGATGATAAGAGTACTCATATGGATGAAACCGAGGACAAAATAGTCAAGCCTGAACAGTACAAAGAAGTAAAAGTTTTAAATGTTTCCCAAACACAACCAAAAAGGAGGGTTTTTCTAAAAGTTTGTCTTAAAACTTTTCTTTAGTGAGGGATGGTGATACATACCTGTCATCCTAGCTATCTGAGAGGCTGAGGCTGGCAGATCTCTGGGGCTGAGGAGTTCTGAGCTTTGGTGAGCCATGCCAATTGAGTGTCCACACTAAATTCAGCATTAATATGTGAGCCATCAAAAGCAGGGGGCCGCCAGGTCACCTAAGCAGTTCAGGTCAGAAATGGAACAGGTCAGAGTTCCCCTGCTAATCAATAGAGGGACTGGGCTCGTGAACAGACCCTGACACTTCTTGTCTGGGCAAGACAGGGATACTCGGTCTTCAAAAAAAAAAGTTCTTAATTTCCAAATTGCTACCCATTTTCAGTTCAACTCTAAATCCCTGTGTAACAGTGTTCATTGTCTCATGTGATAACTGACGCTTGATTTATCGTGTGTTGGGATGTCAGTAAAGTTACTTTGAAAGTGGCTCATTTGATGACTGTACATAGCTCTTAACAAACTCCACTAGTGATAAGCCTTCTGTAGTCTTGGTTAACCCAGCAATAATAGTGTAGTGTAGTCATTGGTCCGTTTTCAGTTTGTGGTAAAAAATGTCTAACTTGCGACCGTCATTGGAGTGTCTGCCCTATTCTGATGCCTTTCCTACAATCTTGGTTAAATGATCATAGAATTTTTTCTGCAGTCATGTCAAGCTAATTTATCTATATATACATAGTTTGTATATTAAAAAATTAATATATACTGTGTTTTAACAGTTTGCCTGAACTGTCTCTGGTTTCTAAATTTTGTAATGTGTTCGTCAAATAAAAAATAGCATTGAAATCAGCTTACTTCCGTGTTTGAAATATTGAGTTGAAATTATTTATAACTTTTTTTTGGGGGGGGGGGGGGTTAGGCAATGGGGGTTAAGTGACTTACCCAGGGTCACACAGCTAGTAAGTGTTATGTGTCTCAGTCCGCATTTGAACTCAGGTCCACCTGATTCCAGGGCCAGTGCTCTATCTACTGTGCCACCTAGCTGCCCCTATTTATAACTTTTGCACAGAAGAAAAGAAAGGGGCTACACTCCTCTCTCTGATACTCAGCAGCTGAGCCTCCATATGAAGAAAGCACACATGCAAAGAATTACAATGAGGCTAACTATAGCTGATCCTTTCTTGAGGAAAAAAAAAAGCGAAGGCCTCAATATATTAGACAATTTTCCAAAGTAATAACAGCTGACATTTCTATAGTGCTTTATGGTTTGTAGTACATTCCAACTAGATCCTCACGATGACCCTAAGAGTTAAGTAATGAAGATATTATCCTCATTTTGCAGATGAGTAAACTGAGAGATTAAGTGATTCACCGAAGGTCACAGTGGCTAGTGAGTAACTCATACAACTGTGATTTAAAGCCAGATCTTCTGACTTGAAATTTAGTGCTTTTCCCAACTGTACACAGAGATATGTTTTAATCAAGTAATCAACAAACATTTATTAAGCTTCTACTTTCATTAGTACCATTTGTGAAGTATAACAGTGTCTAGACCTATTGTCTTAATTTAGAATACGTGTAAGAATATTCGTCTCATGACCAGACTGCCTGCAACTGATAATACAAAAATATGTTGTTCTTAAAGATAGCATTGAAATACAGCCCTGATTACAACTGATTGGCTAGTTAACTAATATTTTCCAAAGGAGACACCTTAAGGACTTTTTGTAATATTGCTGTTGTTTTTCAGATGTCCCAAAGTGTAAGCTCTCCTTATGACCTCCAGATAGGTCAAACTCTTCTCCCAAACAAATCGAAAAGTACAGATCCGGGCATGGTACTGATCTTCAGGCATCGTTCCCACTACTCCAATGACTCACTATTGCCTCCAGGATCAAACAGAAGCTGTTCATCATTTAAAGCTCTTTACAACCCAATCCCTTCCTATTTTTCCAGTCTTTTACAAATTCCTCCCCTCCTCCTTGCACTCAGTGGTTCAGCCGTACAAGACCAATCACTGTTTCTCACATGTGATGCTCTGTCTTCTCTCTGTGCTCCTTTGTGCTGACTGACCCCATGCCTGGAATGGACTCCCAGCTTCATCTCTTCCTCTTGGAATATAGTTTCCTTTATGACTCCGCTCCAGTGCCATCTACTTCCTGATGCTTTTCCTGATCCCTTCAGTTACTAAGGCCTTCCCTCCCAAATTTCTTTGTATTCATTTTGTACTGATTCCTTGTATATCAATGTATGTCCCACAGGCTCTGGGCTTACTCTTCCAATCCCAATATGTACCTTCAGTCTGGGCCCTTGAGACCTTAGGGTTAACTCTGAGTGGCTGGGCAGCTGAGGAGCCCCCATGGTACACTTCTACCTAATAATTATTAATTGCTATTATTAAGTCATCCAAATCCAGTTGGCTTTAAGAAAGAAGTATTTAGTAAGGCAGTATAATAAGAATAGTAGGTATGAAATATCCTCCCCACCCCACCCTGCTTCAAAATAAAAAGTCTGGAAAATTCTGCTACTAGTATATGCAGAGTTCAGGGGAAAGCAGGCTCGAGCTTAGAGAATGCATGTGGCAAAGG